GAATGTTTAAGAAATGTACTCTTAACAAATTAATTCTCTTCAGTTTTGCTCTCAAGTTCCTGACCACTCAATTTCAGTTTGGTTTTCCAGAAAGCCTGGTATTTCGTACTTTGAGAATACTGCAAAAACTTGATATTTCATGGTACTCCTCAGCTTTTCATTACCATCATAAAGTACTTGAGGCAGCTAATGTTTGGGGCTTATCTTGACTTCTAGTTCTGTTGAAGCAAGGAACCTCATCTGGTGATGATCTTCTTGCTACAGATTCCCAGGACAGGGCAGAGTATTGCATTGCAACAGACAGGGACAAAATAGACCTACTTATGGCTGGGTGGGTTGCCTTTTCCTGTCCTTCTAAAGCCATGATGATTCAATCATAGGCGGTATGTCCTGATGATTTGATCTATTATATTTAATTTCCAAAGGTCCTTCTCTTTAAAAACTCAGTCAAGTTAACTTTTTGCCTTGAATATTATATTAAAATTTGAAGTTTAAACTTCTGTAAGAGTTCAGAGAAACAAATCAAAATCAAGCCACAGCGAGAATACAATCTGACACCAGTCCTAAATGACAAATAAAATATATTTATGAATTTGATTGAAAATAATAAGGGTATGTATGATGCATGGAAATTATTTAGCTTCTACTGCAGCACAGAACAAATCCTGGCCCAGAGAAGATATTTGGAATTCTAAAATTTGAAGAGATGTCAAAAGATTAATAGTGTCATAAGCGAATACTTATTTTTAAAAGATTTACTCATTTTTATTTGAAAGGCAGATTTAAAGAGAGAGAACAGAGTCAGAGAAAGAGAGGAAGAGGAAAAGAGAGAGAGAGAGATCTTTTATCCACCGGTTTAATTCCCAAATGGCCACAATGGCTGTAGCTGAGTCTATCCAAAGCTAGCAGCCTGCAGCTTCTTTCTGGGTCACCCCATGTGCGAGCAGGGTGAGCCATCCTCTGCTGCTTTCCCAGGCCATAAGCAGTGAACTGTACTGGAAGTGGAGCAGATGGGACATGAATCAGCACCCATATGGGATGAGAGCACCACAGGTGGAGGATTCATCTGTTATTCCATCGCACCAGCCCCAATACCTTTTTTAGAAGTCACCTTTTACTTGGTTGTGAGGTACATATTCTCTATATTCTTTATCCTTCAATATGTCAATGTGTACACACACATTCACATGTAAACTATGTTATATAAATATAAGAACAATTTATGTATATGTACAAAAAGCAAATCAGTGTATAAGTATACTCAGTCACATATGTGTGTGCATGCATATGATAGCACTCAGTGGAAACATGAACTCCTTTTATCTTTTCATGTTACTACCATTTAGATAGCAATGTAATTACTTTCCTTATGTTATTGTTTCCAATCAGGGAAAAAATGATGATTAAGGCACAAACTTGATCGATTTCAGAGCTATAGACTAGCACTGTTAGCCTACTTAGTTCTATTCTTATAAAAATTATGCAGTTTAAACTGGAAGACACCAGTGCCTGCTTCTATTGGAAACAAGAACTGCTTTCTACTTCATAATATGCTCAATTACCTTGAGATTGATCCATGAATAAATTATGATCCAAATAGACTTCTTTACCTTAAAGCTTTGCCGGCTTAAGGTATCATTGTTGATTCATTCTGTTGTCACTTTTCTATCGGCAATGTAATGCTTTTTATATCTGGATAGAGACAGTTTTAGTGTGAGATACTGTTATCTTTAAATGAGTAGGATTTAGCTTTTCCAGTGAGAACACATTCATCAATGATGAATCCCTAGAGAAACTATTGCAACAAAAATCCCACCATTTTTGAGCTTTGTTCAGTTCATCGGTGACAAAGCAGCTTTGGAAAGTCCTAAAGAACTTTTTTTTCTTTGTTTAAGAAACATTGCATAACGTTCAAAATGCTGCTCCTTGAGTTACCGCAGACTACAACTTTTCCTGTAAGAAAATAATGAATGAAGAGGAGAAGCTCCTGCTGTTGCCTGTGTCTGGCCCTGCTATTTCTGCTCCCACAATAGGAAATCAATTAACTATACGTTCAGGCAGAGATTTGAACAAAATGATTTATTAATCATCACTTATTGTGCACATACATGGTGGCTAATTATGTATTCATCTTCACCTTTTCTTGCCTTTGTTTTCCTTACAATTGTATTGAGTTTGCTTTGTTTTGTTAGGACAAGATCAGACATTAATATATGCCACGTTATAGTGGCTGTATCCTCTCCTGCATGAGAGAACTTCGTGTTTTTTGTTTTTTGGTTCTTGGTTTTTTTTTTTTTTTTTTTTTTGCATCTTAAGAAAATATAACCTTTAAAATGTTTAGTACCCAGAATCCTGGAGCTGCTTAAATTCAAACAATGCAGTTTTAAATTTAAGAAAGGATGCAATTTTACTTATATTAATGAAGAAACAAAATGCCTACATACCCCTGATGATAGCACTCTGTCTGAGCTTCTGGAATCACCACATGGCACTGATTTTACTTGGCAATGCTGACGGGTAGATTGAGGGAAGAATCCCTGGTATTTTGTGTCTGTGGGCCTTCACATTAAAGAAAAATCTGGCAAATTTTCTAACATTGATTCTTCTAACCAGTACACAAGGAAAATCCAATAAGAATATTTATGTTCTATTGATAGTGTTGCCTTAGGACAAATTGCAAGAGATTAACACATTACAATTACAGCATTTTTGGCCATAGAGTGCTTACCTCATATTTATATATGGCCAATGTGATCATTTAGTGCAAAAAAACTACAGAAAATATAGAGCTTTTAGATAGTTGCTCAGGCTGTATCCCATTCAGCATCAAGGGACTTTCAAACACTTACCATTATTATTATTTGTATCATCATTGTCATTATCATTATTATTACAGTAACTGAAACAATTTAAAATCACAATGGTCTTAACATTTATCACATTCTTTTCCTCTACTCGGATAAAAAATAAGCTATATGGAAGAAATTTCTATTTTGACCTGTTTTTTAAAAAAGCTTATGAATTTCCGGAGACATTTTTTTTTCATACAGCATTTATAAAACTCTCAAGTGAAATTAGATGATATTGAGTTACATAAGACCAAACCAGGGAACAGATTTGGTTCAGATGGTTCTCAGACTTGCTAACATGAAGGGTCTGTTAGAACCACAGGTCATGTGCTTCTACACTTAACCATTCTTGATAATCTTTTAGAGTAGAAGATTAGGATTTAGGTGCCCTTGATGTGTAAGAGAGGTGAGAAAGTGACATTCTGACAAGATTTCTATCCTGTGGACATGCACTCACCACATGCGAGGTGTTATCTGAATCTCAAGGGCATATCTTTGGCACTGAGTGTAATCCCTCACACCTCATCTGCCCCAGAAAAAAAAATCAGTTATGAGAGCACACTTTAAACAAGCATTATCTTTTCTATGTTATGGAGGCTGACATGTGTGATAAGTTTTGAGCATTTGTTTCGTAGCCTTATTTATTTTGCTTCTAACAAATCATAGCCTCTTGTTTATAGTAAGAGATGCAAAATATTGTCTCCTTCTACCATATCATCTAATTTTATGGCAACCATTAAATATTATAATTTAGTAAAGCATTAAAATATACAGATGAAGTACACAGTTCTAGTCTAATTGTATATAAGTTAATTTGGCATTCATGACATTGTTTCCATTTACTTGACTTGTTGACATAATTACAGTGAATTGATAATGGCGCTAACATTCTTAGGTATTGCCACATAAATATGTTCATCACTAATATAAATTTACAGTTGCAGTGTGAATTGAGTGGAACGTAGTTTTAATTCAGTGTATCTACCCTACTGAGTTCTCTAGAGGACTAAAGAACTCATTACACAACATGGCAAGTAGAGGCCAGTGTTTTGAAACAAGTGTGATTTTTCACCAAAGTACTAGCTAGGTCACAGATCAGGATGGCCTTGGAGTGCTGTAGTTTTCCAAACCCCCATCAGCTAGATAAATAGGCTTTCTTCTGCCAGAAAAAGAGTGTGTTTTTGCTGCCTTATAAAAGAGACCTAGCAATTCCAGGTTACAGGCAGACACGAAACATTTGGAATTCAGTAGTGTCTATCATCAGCAAAATATGTCAGTAAAAGAGAAGATCAAAGGTTCCAGAAGAGGGCAAGAACAAATTGAAGAGGAAATAATTGTGGGATAATGAATGGTATTTTTATGAGCATTTTTATGTTAACTTGAAACCGCTTAGCAGTTTTTCATGACTCCCAGTTATCTTTCCAAATGAACTTTGTAAGCTACAATTGAACAACCATGAGATTTCAAGCCGTGATGTGAGTTTGAATGCTGATAGAGTTTGCCTACACCTTATGATGTGTCTTCTGCTTTCTATTCCTGTTTTTGCCTCTTTCATACAAAATAAAATTTATTTTCTGCACAGCAAAATCAGTATTTTTGCCATTTTGTTTTTCAGCTATTCAATCAACATTAGTCACAGTCATTAAAGAGGTGTAGTAAGAATTTGAACACAATAAAATAGAGATACAGATTAGAACTTTGGCAAAATACCTCTGCTATTGACAGAAACATTTGTCAGGGACTATGCTGTGTCTATATGCTGCTAGAAACCTGATGAAGGGTAAGAAAAAGCATCAATAGTTTTCACCTTCTGTCTATACAAGCCAAACAAATGCTTTAACTAATCTCTGTTGTTTCAAGTGGGTGGATTTGGTTTACCATTGTGAGCATTATTCCATTTAGAATGTATTTTAATTAACGTCTGTATATCCAAGACATGTTTAGTAAAGGTCTTGTGCTACTGCTTTATTTTTAAAAAGGAATAAAATCTAAACCCTAGAGGTTTGAGGTCTCAGGGTAAATAATGAGCTATGGTATACATGAAAAAATCCTCAGAAAACACGTTTGTTGATGATATTTATGAGGTTATGTCCTCCCATTTATCACTCCTATGAATTAATATGCGTTTCTCTTTGTGTCATTTTCTTTTAGAAACTGCCAAGTTTTGGACCTTATCTTGAACAGCGCAAGAAAATCATTGCTGAGAACAAGATTAGACTGAAAGAACAAAGAGCAGATTTGTCACCACTCGAGAAAAACTATTTCATCCCCCAAAAGCCTGTTCCAACCATCAAGGTAAAAATTAAGCCAAATTTATAAATATAACTGTTTTACCATTTAATATAGAAAATGGCATAAATGAATACTTGCTGCTTACAAGTTTCTGTCACTGAACAGTTTCTAAGGTTTTGTGGCAAAGTCAGTGTTGGAACAGGGAATGGGTCATGGTAGGCTGGGCGTCTTATGGCAAAGGCCAAAATGGGGGATGGACTATGTTGAGCTGGGTCTGTACTGGCACGCTCAAGGTCTGTGGCTGGAAACAAGCATGGTGGGGGAACTGATGGGAACTCCAGCTGGGTTGTGGTTACCACTGGTGAGTGTGAGAACTGGAATGCAGGGTGGCAATCTGGTCTGGACATGACTGCAGTTTCCCTATGCATGGGTGTGGCCTGGGTCTAAGGTGTATCATACTGGACCTGACCCCCAACAACTGCCAGAGAGGGTGTAGGATAGGTGGGGCTAGGTCTTAGTACCAACTGAACCACATGTGAGTTGTGTCTGCACAAGGACCAGGGATGGCTGGGCGATAGCATCAAACCATAAGAACCGGAATGGATGTGGGCCAAACAAGGCCACTGTTTTGGCCAGGACAAGAGGTGGACTAAGTTAGGCTGGCCCAAGGATCCATCAGTGTGCACCATATCTGCCACTGGGAGGAAACCTGATGGATGAGCTTAGGTAATTCCTCTGTCAGGATGAAGTCACTGCAGGTGAGCACAAGACCACAGGCTGGGAGCAGCCCAAACCAGTTCAGGTTACGGTACCTGCCTGCATACGCATGGGTCAGTTCAGGAGTGGGCCAGACTGGGCTAGTTCATAACACCCACTGGCAGATGTGAGAACCAAGACAGAGTACAGGACCGGCCAGGTCAGGCAGCAACATCAGCCAGTTCTCATTGAGGCCAGAACTGTTGGCTGGCTGAACTTGACTAAGCCATAACTTCCATCAACATGAGCTGGAAATGGAGTGAACCAGGCCATGCCAGGCTCTAGCACCTGCCAACAAATGTCACAGTCCCCAAAAGCACATGTGAGACCAGGGAAATGAGAGGTGTAAGCCCAGGTAGGTGGGCTGCTGGGAGCTCTCCCGTTGGGCTACTGGTGACTTGAGTACTGTAACCAGGGGCAGGCTAGTCCAGACACCACAACAATAACTGTTGGCCTGCATGTGAACTGGTTAGAGGGAGAGCCAGGTAGATCTAACCAATTGTATTTACTGGTGCATGCATGAGCCAGAGTAAGTTCAGGCTGATTGGGCTTTGCTGCAATATCAACTGGCAAGTGCTGGAACTGGGGCAAGACTTCAGAAACACCTGAAGAATGCAGGATCCATTGGGAAAACTGTGGGCACCTCTCTGATGACTTGCAACTCCCCCTGTGAGTACTTGGAGTGGGCCTGACTAGACAGGTAGTGGCACCCTCCAGCATGAGTATGAGCTGGATGGTGGGATGTGTTGGATTAAACTGGGCTTCAGCACCCATTAACGTGAATGAGAGCAGAATGGGATATGGGACAGATTGGACCAGGCTGCTGCACATACTGTTAAGCATGAGAACCAAGACTGGGAGATGACCTAGTAAGGGTTATTGTGGGTCACTCTGACTAGGCTGCAGTTCCCACTGATGAACATGAGGGTTGAATGTGTGGTGGTCAGGGTTGGGCTGCTCCATGGTATCCCTTGGTTTACATAAGAGACCAGGCTGGAGACAGAATTGACCCAGCGAATGCAACTACTAGTGTGTGTGTAGGCAGATGTGAGGGGGTGGACAGATCTGGAGCCCACACTGGCAAGCACACACAAGAGCCAGGCCTGTAATCAGACAAGGTTTCTTTGGGGGATCCCCCTAACTGAACTGCTGGACTCAGAACTGTAACCATGGGGAGAATCACAGCATCTGTGGTCTGATCATGGAGTGTGTATGTCAGAGCTGTGACTCCTCAGTGGCTAAGACGGAGCAATGGACAGCATACCAGGTGTACATGGAGGTTATGGCAATCCTTTGGGGCCTACCGAGAACATCTAGTACCATAGCAGAAGGAGGACAGAACAACTACCCCAGCCAAGTATTGGCAGCAAATATCCGAGTGAAGGTAAACTATGTTAACCAATGGACCTTGGAAGCATTTCCTTATGCTTAGATCGGCAAGATCAACAGCATTTTAGAACTATTGCAATCAGACAAGCTTTAGAACCCTCAGAGCATGCTCCACACCAGGGTTGCTGGGATGATGAAGGGTGCCCATTCTCCAGCCCTGAATGCTGAGGCTATTAGGGAGGCTGCTGTGGCTGCATCTCTTATCTCCACCCTTCCCCTGGATAAAGGAAGGAGAAAAAGATAAGAAAATTTGCAAACACTTGTCTCATCCACTTTCCCTAATCCTCAACCTTTCCCACCCTAATCAACCATGTAAACAGCATAAAAAATAAAATTAAAAAACACTTCTATGGAGAAATTATCTTAAATGATAAAATGTTTTCTTCCATTTTTATATTTATGCTTTTATTCGTGTATTTTATAATTTTTAGAGTGCTATCAAGCCTGAATTTTATAGAAATTCTTATGTTGCCAATGTATCACAATATTGAGAGCTTGTAGTCTTTTAAAATTATTTGGGGCCTGGCACAATAGCCTAGCAGCTAAAGTTCTTGCCTTGAATGCGCCAGAATCCCATATGGGTGCTGGTTCCAGTCCTGGCAGCTCCACTTCCCAACCAGCTCCCTGCATGTGGCCTGGGAAAGCAGTCGAGGACTGCTCAAAATCTTGGGATGCTGCACCCATGTGGGAGACCTGGAGGAAGTTCCTGGCTCCTGGCTTTGGATCGACATAGCACAGGCCATTGTGGTCATTTTAGGGGGTGAATGATCGGACTGAAGATCTTCCTCTCTGTCTCTGCTCCTCTTTGTATATCTGACTTTGCAAAAAAAAAAATTAATTTTTTAAAAATTATTTTAACCCATAGTTAACTCCAAGAAATCTTGTATTAGTCATGCAATGCAAAGTATCAGTATACATCATGTATATATCAATATGATATTTTACATTTTGGGAAAGCATTCACTGGCTTGGCCTCTAGAAAAACTAAACAGATTATTTGCTGGATAATAAAAAAAATAGATAATAGAAATAGATAATAAGGTAGAGTTCTGTTTGGAGGTTACCTTTTCTTGCTGTTTTTCTTTAACATTTGTAGTTTAAGAAAAATATAGCCTGACATTCCATTGTAAGAAATTAAATGGAAGTCTCCTGTACTCTTATCTCCCCACTGGTATAAAGTGGTATATCATGATACAACAACCAAAATATTGTTTGGCTGTGGTAATTATATAATTATTTCCTTATACATATAAATTTCAAAAGATATTATTTATCAACTGTAACCCTGTGTTTTCATGTCTGTCAGTGTTTGTGTCGAATTGTGTGCAACTTTTACATGTATCAGTGTGTGTATTCACACACCATTCCGCTGAAGATGCAGAGCAGGATTCCTCAGGTTGCTTGCTGATAGCCACACCCATTTTGTCCTGCCCTACATCCCCATGAGGCAGAAATGCTTTAAAGCATCCCCAGTGAGGGGGAAAATGAGGGTAGTTGGATAGTATTTTCTCTGAAATCACCATCACGGAAATGTGATTTGCAGTTACTGAAATTGATACTCCTCTATCTAGTGCAAGTCTCCTCCTGCCACTGTTTTCAGTTTGAAACATCAACTAAAATCTTGCTCTTAGGGTCTCTGAAGTAGGCCTTGCTAAAATTGAATTTGGTAGTTAGTTGAGAACTGAAACCACTTAAAATTCCCTATAACTATAAGAAGAATAAAATGGACCATATACTGAAAACAATGGACTTTAGACTTGCTGTTACCACATTTAAGTAATGCTGAGTTCTGAAAGGAAATATACAAATGGCTGACCTTACTACTTCCGTGACATTATTCCAAATAAGATGAACAGCAACACAGCCTCAAAAACTCTACTGAACTATTCTTATCAGTTTGCTGTGTGGTACACTAATGGGAGAGGCAGGCAAGATCCTTCATAAGCATTTTCCCCTTATGGTTGGCTATGATTATTCCCACGAAAGTGAGTGGAAATTCTGCGGGCTCTATCTCGCTTCTTCCTGTTTTGAAAGATTTATTTATTTTTATTGGAAATCAGATATATACAGAGAGGAGGAGAGACAGAGAGGAAGATCGTCCATCTGTTAATTCACTCTCCAAGCAGCCGCAAAGGCCAGAGCTGAGCCAATCCAAAGCCAGGAGCCCAGAGCGTCTCCCTGGTCTCCCATACGGGTGCAGGGTCCCCAGGGTTTGGACCATCCTCAATTGCTTTTCCAGGACACAAGCAGCAAGCTAGATGGGGAGCAGGGCTGCTGGAATTAGAGCCAGTGCCCATATGGGATCCCAACATGTTCAAGGTGAGGACTTTAGCTGCTATCTTGTTTCTTTCTTTCTTTCTTGTTTATTTATTTATTTTTATTGCAAAGTCAGATATTTACAGAGAGGAGGAGAGACAGAGAGGAAGATCCTCCATCCCATGATTCACTCCTCAAGTGAGTGCAACGGCCAATACTATGCCGATCCGAAGCCAGGAGCCTCTTCTGGGTCTCCCACGCAGCTGCAGGGTCCCAAGGCTTTGGGCCGTCCTCGACTGCTTTCCCGGGCCACAGGCAGGGAGCTGGATGGGAAGCAGGGCCACCGGGATTAGAACCGGTGCCCATATGGGATCCCGGGCATGCAAGGCGAGGACATTAACCACTGCGCCATCCAGATCCCTGCTTGTGGCCTAGGAAAGTAGCTGATGATGACCCAAATCCTGGACCCTGCACCCATGTGGCAGGTCTGGAAGAGGCTCCAGTCTCCTGGCTTCGGATCGGAGCAGCACCAGCCATTGTGGCCACTTGAAGAGTGAATCAACAGATGGAAGATCTTCCTCTCTGTCTCTCCTCCTTTCTGTATATCTGACTTTCAAATAAAAAAATAAATAAAACTTTTTTAAAGATAAATAAATAAATCT